TCTTTCCTGCCTATGCAGGGGGTCGGACTCGATGATCTATTGAGGTCCCTTCCAACCCTAACATCTATGAATCTATGTGGGGAGGAAGAAACCTGGTAATAGTCCATGCAAGATGGGGACTTGGGAAACATAAATTCCAATGCTAGCTCTGCCACTGACTTGGGTAACTTTTGGCAACTTGCTTCACTTCTGCTTCCCCCTGTTTCCGTTTTGTCCTTTGACTTTCTTGTCCACTTAAGCTGGGAGGTAGTCAGGTCAGAGCTGTCTCTTCTTTTACATCTGTACAGTGCCTAGTATATTGGAACATTCTTAGACCCCCTGCATGCTACTGTATTACTTCTACAAAATACTGTCATAAGGAAAGGACTTCCTGGGTTCTGGTATTTTTTGCTCCTAGGCTGGATCCAGATGTGCAGGCACGTGTGGTTTATGGCTCTGCGAACCGCTTTGTGGTGCCACATCACATGCCTGGCACATTAAAATGTGATATGCACTACAGATTTTCAGTGCATGGGCAAAATTTGCTACCAGGAAATCCCAGCAGCCAAACACCCCTTCCCCCACCCTCTGCTCCCGCCATGATAAAAGTGTCATGGCATGTGCCACAGGACCACGTGCTGGCAGACATGGAGGCTTGGTCCTCCCGGGAGATGCTCTAACTGCTGGCCAGAGTGTCACCCCTCCTCTAGTTCTGCCCTGGCTCCGGCAGCACGCTGGGAGGAGTGAGGAAACAGCAGTTTCCCTGAAGTGGGCCATTTCGCCTTGCACCAAAGCCCAAGTGCAGGGGTGTGTACTTTTTTTGTATGTGAGGACATGCCCCTAGGTTGTATCCAGATGTGCGTGGACGTTTGGTTCCCTGGGGACAACAAGCGGTGATGTGCCTTGTGCCGCTGCTAGTTGTCCCCGAGGAACGCCTGTGCTACGTGTGCTCTGGCGTGTGGCAAGTTAGCCCAGGTGGGGTAGGGGAGGCTGGGGACAGCTCAGTGCTGGCCCCAGCAGCAACCTTAACCTGGGGTCCTGAGGTCCTCCCAGGGCTGAAGTAGTGGTGATCTTGCTGCGCAGAACCTGGCTGACAGCTGTGTGTGGCTCCGGCCGGCCAGGCTTTGGCTTCATGTGTCGCACGCTGCCACCACATGTGCCACTCCACTTTTTTTTTTCCCCAAGAGTTTTTTTTGACTGCGCTGTTCCCTTGCAGTGCGGAGAACAACGGAATGTGCGGTATATGGCACCACAGACATGTCTGCAGCACCACATAGCACATGGCTGTGCTCATCTGGATGTGGCCCTAGTATGCACTCTAGGTTAAAATGTGTGGTGTTGCAGAGAGTCCTTTTTCACTTTAATGCTGGCCTACTCAAGTGATTAATTGTCTGTACTACATTAAGGGAGGAGCAGAGTGAAGCTTGGCTTTCTCTGTAAGGCAAAGTTGGGAACTGGAAGCTGAGATACGATTCTTGTTCTGCTCTTCCTATAAGTAGAGGATAGAGCCTAATCAAGATTCTCAAACGTTCTAGGAAAAAAAAAAAGATTTTTAAAGGGTGCGTTTGATTAGAATTTTTTTTAACTAAACCTGTTTCTTATATCTACCCTATATTTAACAAAAAGAATTTCAGCAGAAGCTTGGGAAGGACAATCATTGCATTTTACTACTTGGACTGTTATTTTTCAAAGTGAACAAAAGAATCTCTGTGCGGTACTGCAAATTATTACTGCAAGGCTAACAAAAGTGAATTATTTGTTGCAAGGGAAAGATACCTCGGCACCGGGCTAATGAACATGCTACCAGTAGTTAACTCCTTGCTACTAGGACTTGGTAATTTCTGCTTCTTAACTGCCAAATGGAAAATGCATTAGGATGACCAGTGGGCGTTCTAGAATTCCACTTGTCCCAGCACATGCACGTTGCATTACCAAAAGGAGTTCATGTCCTGTGTAGCACTGAAGTGAGCTCCTTTTGATATTCTGGACATCTGCATCACAATGGGACCAGCTGGGTATAGAACAGTTTGAACATTTGACCTTTTATTGTAAGTACCCAAATTGGAGATAAGCTCTTTAGAAAAAAACTTGTTCCAGTGTCTCATACTTAGAAAATATTGGTGAAAATATCAGTAAATGTCTTCTGAAATTAAGGCCCATGTGTACTTTCTTTTTGTCAAAGAAGTTAAGTTATCCAGTGAAAGAAGACCTTGCTATATTTAAAATCAGAGCCCGAAAATGTGGATATGATGCTTATTTTTAAAAAATGTTCTTTTTTTGTAGGGGTTTCATTTCTGTTAAAGTGACCAGAGCATTCGTGAATACAGTATAATGGACGTGGAAGAATTTCCTCCTCCCCCACCACCTGAAGGTAATTGAATAGCCTGCTTTTAATCAGTTTCAGCTGAATGGATACATCACGTTCTCCATCAGGAACCTTAGTATGACCTCTCTTTTTTTCCAGGTGTTTTGGTTGTACTTGGTATTATCTTCAGGAACATTTTGTGTTGTTTCTTTAACCCTTACTAGTGAATTGTCCTTCAGGAATTATGCCTAAAACTTGATTCTTGCCTATAAGTGTCAGTGATATACTTTCCAGTAACTTCAGTGGGCATTGAATTAAGCTGGAAACTTTTTTTTTTCAGTAGTCTCCCAATTTTATAAGTCAGTTGCTGTTTAGTGATGCACAATTATTTACTAAGCGTATTCAAAAATGTCTGTGCTTGCTTAGTTTGGGTGTACTTTTTACTTCTCGTTTGTATTCTTTTTAGAAGTAAGATGATTAGTTCCTAGATCTTTTAGACTAGGAAATTCTTGTCCTTCAGCCTGGCTGCTGTAGTCTTATAAGAGCTGTAAACGGCATGCTGGGAAGCGGCATGCTAAGAACTTTTTCAATGCAAACACTGCACTAGTCTATCAGACACGGGTCTGCACAAAAGAAGGTATGACAGACAGTCAAGGTTGAAGAGGCTGCAGCTGTAGCTTGGAGTGCTGTGAAGGATTATAGGATATTCCAGACTGGTGCGGGCTCAAGACCCATATGGCTGTCTTCTCTGCCTAACTGCTGGACCTGGGTATGGAGTGGAGTAAGCAGAGCTTGTTAGTTGCTTCTAGTCTTGGACTTAGTGTGGAAGTTGTATATTAGCCTGCAGACCTACTGAAATCTTGATTTTTAGCAGCTTTTGCAAAATCTGGTGTTGCCTGTGAAATCTGCAAAACTGGTGAGGGGAAAAAACTTACTGAAAAGAAAATGCTGGCTTCCTAAACGGAGAGAACAGTTCTCAGGGTGCTGTGGCACCCCGCTAGGGTGGGAAAGGGGGGAGGGTCTGCCTGCTTAAGGGTGGCTGGCAAGATGGCTGCCACCCCCACACCTTGCCACTAATTGGCTGTGAAGGCTGCCTGTAATGTTGCCACACCTCTTTCCAATTCCTAGTGGGGGGCGGGGCCTCATGACAGTCAGCCCTTGCAGCCAGTCAGCTGCAAGGGACGGGGCCACTGAGGCCCCTTGACTAATCAGAGGCATGGGGTGCACTGCACTCCACCTGTGAGATGGCTGCGGTGCCCTGTGTTCTGTCCGTCAAATTAATGGGCAGCTGCCCCAATTTTTGATAGGCCACTAACTATGGCTCATACTTGGCCCTATTGTGGTTATTGTAATTTATGGTAGCAGCCTTCAGTAGAGCCTGGATTCCTGAGGGCACAAAGGTGGAATAACACAAAGTAACCCTTGTTTCCTTGTGCTTGGGCTTGTACATATGTGCTAGTAATGGAATTTCATTCTTAATCTATTCTGTGGATGTATAGGGAGTTCAGTGCAGTATGTAGATACCTTTTTGTATGCTGTGCGTCATTCTGTAAGTTAACACACTTGAAAAAAAAAGTTTGTCTGGGTGTCAGTCAAATATCTTTCTCGTTGGTTTTTCCAGTTAGTGACTGATTCTGTATTTGTCAATTCTTTCTCCCCTTGTCTTTTTATATGTAAATTCCACTTCTTTACTTGGTACTGGCAAGATGGCTTATGCTATCATTTTATACATTTCATAGTTTGCAATAGTTGTAAATATTAAGCATCATATATTGATTTTTCTTTAGCAATTAATATGTAGGAACAGGGGTGAATTCAGACTGGTGATCTATTGAGTTTGGTATCTTGTCTATGGCTGTATCATGTTTTATAGGAATGTGAAAGATACTCTGTAATACGTAGTTATGAAATAAGATGCTCTTCAGGGAAAGATTATTTCTGACCTTCATTATTTAGAAGTTGGGTTTTTGGGGGGTTTTGTTTTGTTTTTTGCCTGGAGGACAAGGGTTTATGTCCTTGCAAACTATGTTCTTTCTCATGTGCCCTGCTCTAAATCCTTCTTATTGTAACTCTGGATGTAAATCTGGGTTTTCCTTAGTGATTTAATTGTGAACACTGTCAGTTGCCATAGAAGGATTAAAACATCCCCGACAGTTGTTCCGTCTTAATTCTTTAGTGGGGGAAGAGTCTGCTCTTGAGGAACCAACACGTTGTATGCAAGCTGTGGTGGCGATTGTTCAAAGAGCTGGAAAAATAAATGTAGCAGCAACAGATTGAGGCCCTGTTCAGAAAAACATTTCAGCATGTATGTTACACCAGGCATGTGAGACACAGCACTCATCTATTTTATGCTCATTGTAGCCATGGAGAGGTGTTCTGTTCTAGTGCTAAGAAATTCTTAACTCTGGAAAACAAGGCTGGGGCCGGAATATACAGACATCCTAGCCCCTTTGCTGGAGAACTACCCATATGCCTCAAAAGTAAGCTCCCCTGCCAGAGTAGGCTAGAGGGTCTACTCTTTGCATCTCCGTTCCTTTACGGGAGCCCACTGATTGACAGCCTGGCTCCTCCCCTGCTGGAATAGAGGACAGGCTGTCACTGAGCAGCTAGCAGGGGCCCACATGGCTCAACTCATCCCAGGTGTCCTGGAAGGCATGAGGCCACAGGGGAATGACCCCCAACCCCTTGCACAGCTCTAGGGCCACCTTGGTTCTATGCTTGGGATGGGAGGCAAATGTGCCACAGCTGGTGCTGTCCCAGAGCCCTGGAAAAATGTTAACCCTGGAAGAATGTTGTTTTTCCCTCCTCCCTGCTGTCCACCAATTAGTTAATTGGCAGGAATGGTGGGGGAGGAGTTATTTCTTGTGGCTTGACCTGTCCTGGGTACTCCCAGGATGGATCAACTCAAGGGGATGGCCTCCCATCCCTTGCATAGACCCAGAGTCACTCGTGCTGCTGCCTGAACAGTCTGGGGACTCTCTCCAGGAATGTTTGGGCATTGGCAAGAGGGTCCTTACAGGCCGCTTGACAGCTCACCACTGCCTAGGCTATCAAGGAGCCCAATCCTTCCTTTCTCCCTCCCTCCCCTCCCCTTGGAGGGAGAGAGTGCAGAGAAACTATGTCATACTGGGGGCCTACAAGACCCAAGAGAAGCATGTGGGCATGTACGTTGGGTCCAGAAGAGATTTTTCTCGTTGCAAGTGCTGTTACTTCTTTTGCAGAAGAGCAAGTTTTCCTCTGGTGATAAACCTCTTGAATGTCTGTACACTAGTGATTTTTTTTTTCTTTTTTTTTTTTTATGCTGAGAGAGAGGTATTTCTCCACAAATATAGTGCCTGACCAAAGCCCATGTCTCTTTACCAAAATGGGGCCTAAATGTTGTAGCCCCTTTTGGACAGCCTTTCAGATTTTATACTGAGATTAGATTTATTTAAAATGTGTGAAGACATTTATGTGGCATTGCTGTTGATGAAAATCCTTACCCTCCCCTCTTTCAAAGAGCTTACTCTCCAAGATTTCTGAGACTGGTGTATCTTTTAAATTAAAAGTATTGATTTAAAACCACTAATGAGTCATCAGATTTGAATTTACAGAAGCTTTTTCTCTTGTGAAAACGAAGTATTAATAAAAGGCATGGCAGTTCAATTAACCTAAGGCTCTCACATTACAGTGTGATAAACCATCTCAGCAGTCGTGCTGATGTGCCTTTTCATTCATTTCCTAAAGGTCAGACACCAGTGTTTCTAAAACAATTTAGTGACCCAGACTCCAGCTGCAACATAACATGCTTTGCAAGGTGATAAGTCTGCTTATATTGTGTATGGGATCGTTCCACTCCACCTCAACCATTCTGAACAAAGGAGAATAATGGATTTGGATGCTAAGAGCATATTTAAGTTCCTTTTGGACACCAATGAAAATGTGGGATGGGCTTAATTAAGTTAAGCTGTTGCCCACTTAACTTAATTTTTTTAAAGAGTTGCTTGGCCAATATTTTCACATGCTGGAGGTGAAGTCTTATATTTAGACACCTGAATAAAATGTGCCTGCCTTGCAGAAGATTTAAGTTAAAAGGAAGTTAATGTAAGTTCTGTTGTTTCTAAGGACTGTGTCATTGCTCAGCACGTCTGCTGACTTCTTGGGATTTTGTTTCCTTTCTAGGTGTTACCACCATAAATACTTGTTGGCTCTTTGCTGTTTACAATGTGACAAATCTCATATTTTATTTTGGCTCTTTCAGTGATTTTCTTGCCTAGTGTCTCCTGGGAACTTTACCTGTGCTTTTCCATAAGTTAAAATCGGTTCTGTTATCATTACCAACTTTCCTATGGAGGTGTTCTGAAAAGGAATTTCTGTTTATGTAGCGTTTATACTGGCTATGTTTGTGCTACTTAGCACCAAGGTTGGGTGGGAGGGCAAGCATACCACTTGCCCTGAGCTCTGGCTTGGTGGGGTGCAAATATAGCAGCCACTGCTGCTGCTGGCCTGGGGCCATCGTCCTGCCCACAGAGAAGAACTTCCCAGTTACATGTCTGCTAAGTAGTATTACTTTGTACATCAAGTATTTGGATGAGGCCCACAATGTTTTCCAATAATTTGTCATATACCTTCTAAAAGTTGCCCTTGGAGCATTCAAAGATGTTTTTCTTTTGAGCTTTTTGAATAATCAGAATTTATTCATAGAACAGAAATAGACTACTTAGTTGTGATAGGCTTTTTGGAAGCCTATCTATGAGCTATGATCTATGAGCTTTCTCCTCTAGTTGTGATAGTCTCAGCACTGGTAATACATGGTGTACTGTCTTTTTGTTCCTTAAATATCTATCAAAGAATTGAAACTTTGCAGTGTTGTTTAATCAAAAGCCTCTCAAATAGAACATCCCGGTGGTGCTCAAATTTCCAGCCTCCATGGGTCGGATGAGTGGCATGACCTGATCCATGGGATGGATTCTACATCCAGGGTCAGTACATAGGTCTGACCCTACTCATCTGATCCTGCCACCGAGTGGCCCCATGTGCTGGTTTCACCAAGGACTAGTGATCTAGTGTGCAGGGCTTCCCATGGC